CGCGCTCGCCCGGCTTCTGCCGGTGCCGGCCCAAGGAGGAGGCCGGAAGAAGGAGCCGCGAGCCGCCAGCCTGCAGTGGCGCATGCGCCCGACGGACCCCGTGGGGACCCGGAAAAGGAAAACCTGACGGCCTGAATGCGCAAGCGCAGAAAGGCGATGGGGCAACGGGGCGCGAGGGTGCCCTTTGGGCGTGCGCAGAGTCTGGGTGTAAAGAAAGTCCCCAAAGTGGAAGGCATTGGGCGCATGCGCACACCCGGCGTTGACAGCCTCGGCGGAGACCGCTGGGCGGAACCGAAGGGACAGTTGCGTGACCATTGGCTAACGTCGGGGTAATTGGCGTAAAGCTCTTCCAATGAGTTACAGGAGGCGGGGAAAAGATGGAGGAGGTGTGGACTACTCTAGCTACGGAGTTCTGCGCCGCCGAAACACGCCCCTCTCGGCCCGCCCCTTTTAGTGCTGGACCTCTAAGGTCACGAGCGCCTCGCGTTTCGAGAGGCCTCTACTTCCGGGTCAGAGCTAAGACCTAGTGTATAGAGAACGACTCTCCGGAACAGGCAGGAATAGTCGAAACAGGATAGCGTCGTTTTTCTTAAAGTGACAGGCTCAAGGCAATTGGGGCAATCTCACCAAGCGGTTTCGAGGGCCACCCAGTCCTGGGCAAAGTCCTGGACAACAGCTTCAGGTTTCCGTCCATGGGGAAGGGACATGAAGAGGCGGATTGTTTCCCAGGTGAGGGGAAGAGGAGAGCCTTAGACAACCTATCCCAAGAAGCCGAGGTGCAGCTCGTGCCGTCTGTCCTCCGGTCTTCCCCACCCCCATCCCACCGGCTCTGCAGAGCGGAGCTTCCTGTTCTTATTCCAGACACGTAAAGAACGAGACTCGGAGGCGAAGGTCGTACAGTCCGAAAGAGCAGGCCCAGGGCTGCCCCACTCCCGAGTGCGGTCCCATAACGCCCTTTCGCTGGCGCCCACGCGATGCAGAGGGCAGGGAGGGCCCGTCCCCAGCGGAGACCGTCTCCGACCCGACGGCGCAGAGGCCCGACCTGGGGCTTTTCTTCCTGGCGCCCGCAGCCTGCTGCGACGGGGCGTCTGGGGCTGCCCTCTCCCTGCCCTGCTCTCCCGGTCCGCCTACCCGGGAACTCCCCGCCCGGAGCCTCCGGGAGGGGAGCGGTGCAACCCGCCCGCGTCATCTGATGCTGTTTCCTGCAGGACGGAGAAGAGCGGAAAAAAGTGAAACTCCACCCTCCACCTCTGCCTCCCGCCCCCGGGGCCAAAGTACAAAGGAGGAGGAAGAAGGGAACGGGGTCGGAGCCGTCGGGGCCCGGAGAGCCGGGCCAGGAAGAGGCAGCCCGGCCCCGCTGCGGACGCCTCCTCC